TAATATTCCACCACACATATGTACCACATCCTCTCGGTCCATTCCTCTGTCGAGGGACCCCTAAGTTGCCCATGACCTGGCCATTGTGAATAGTGCTGCAATGAACATTGGGGTGCATGCATCCCTTCGATTTATGGTTTTCTCTGGCTATGTGCCCAGGAGTGGGATTGCTGGATCGTATGGGAGCTCTATTTTCAGTTTTCTAAGGAACCTCCACACTGTTCTGCCCAGTGGCTGCACCAGTTCACATTAAAGAACACATTTCTTAACCACTCTCATTTGTGAAATGGGGATCATCGGGGGCCAGTCTAACAGGTTACTATGAACATTAGATACGCTATTGCAGGAAAGCACTTACCAGGGTGCTCAGCACAGAGTCCATGATCAATGAATGTCAGCTCTGAGGACAGGTGTAAAGGCCTGTGGGTGGGTGGTCATAAATCTCTCTCTGCACCCACCCCTCTACCCCACCTCCTAACTTGCTTTCCCTCCTGGGTCCTCCCTTGTTGACCACCGGGCACCAGTCTTCTTGCTTCTTATCTGAGATTGGCGTTCTCGATTTAATGAAAATCATCAGGGTTAGCCTGTTCAGTCAGTACTAAGCTGCCAGGTCACCCAGATGTTTTGCACTGGTCTCCACCAGCCAGGAAGAGGGATAATTATACAGGCTGTTTTTAATTGAATCCACTCAACAAGCTCCTCAAATAAGTATTATTATTAGTCTATTTTTATAAAATGTGTAAACCAAGGCTCAGATAGGATAATTTACCCAAACACACATAGGAAAAATAACCCAAACTGGTTTTTTCTAATTTCAAGATGAGTGTCTAATTTTTGAAAATAAGACTGGAAAAAAGATAGGTTCTTTCTTCTTTTCTCTTCTCTATGAATATGTGGAAAAAAACACCAATATTATTTAACTTACCACTTTTTGAGTGTAACATTATCTAAATGCCGTTGAAGAATCACTAGTTCCACAAGAAGTTAATGCATAGTAGACAAGAAAGGGGAAAAGAAAAATGAAAACAAAACAGATTTCCAGATCAAAGCAGTTTGGGTGATGTTGGATTAAACCAAATGAGAAAAACTGACTTACTGTGGGAGTTCTCAGACTCTTCCACATGTAGATCTCCAGAACTGTGGTATGAAATACTATATTACCCAAACGATTCTGGGGAGTTTTACATAGGAAATCCTTTTTGTTAATGGGAAATCTTTCTGGATTAATATTCCTTTGAAGTTCTAATCTATTACCATTTGGAGAAATTTTCAAATATATTTGACAGATTCTGTACAGAACATTTTGAGATGACATGGAAAAGGGGCAAAATATGATGAAAATAAGTTTCTGTGTAAGTTACTGTTGTTAATAATAGAGTTCGTGATATGAAAATCTAAAAGTAGTGACCCCAGTGAAAACCAGGTGAGAGGTTTCCTGAATCCTGTGCGTGTGTGTGCGTATGCATGTGTGCCTATGCATGTGTGCCTATGCATGTGTGTCTAAGGATATGTTTGTGTGTTTTAGCACAGAGGTATAAGAGCTTTTAGTTTTTGCATTATTTATTGTTTTGGTCCATGTTCTTAGAGGAGCATAAAGCATGGTATTAAAAAGGTAATACAAGAATTGTTCTTGAGACATGATCACTCTGAGATGAGGAAAGGTAGAGGGAACAGGTGTAAGTAAAATAAATGAGTGTAAGGGGAAGACCAGAGTAATAATTTCTCAGTAGACAAAGTGGTTTTTCATGGCTATGGCAGGAAAACAGCTGTAGTAGGGTTTCCTGGCACTCACTTTTTAAAAATTTTAAACAAACTTAAAATTTTTTTAAAACAGTTTTATAGAAAAGTTATGAAGGTGGTACAGAGAGTCCCCACGTGTCCCAGACCCAGATTCCACTATTATTAGCATCTTACACTCATATGATACACTTGTCACAATTAGTGAACAAATACTGATACCTTGTTATTAACTAGAGCCCACACTGTATTCAAATTCCCTCAGTTTCTATTTAAAGTCCTTTTCCAGGGTCCCCACCCAGGACACCACGTTACATTTACCTGTCATATCTCTTTGGGCTCTTCTTGGCTGTGACAGGTCCTCAGACTTTCCTTGTTTTCGATGACTTTGACAGCTTTGAGGAGTCCTAGTCAGGCATTCTGTAGACTATCCCTCAATTGGGATTTGTGTGATGTTTTTCTCATGATTAGTCGGGGGTTATGGGTTTGGGGGAGGAAAACCTCACAGATAAATTCATTCTCATCACATCATATTTTTAAAGCTGCCAAAGAGATGGTGGCGAAGACTATGTGTTCACCAAAACCTGTTTCTATTTTTACCTAAGCACATAGCTAGCCTACATTTCTTAGCCTCCTTTGCTAAGCGAGGTCATGAACCTGGGCTCTAGCTAACAGAATCCCCAAGCTTTAACCACAAAAAGCGTCCCATGGATTTTCCATATTATTCCCTCATTCCTCACCTGCCGGTCTAATGCAAAGACTTCAGTGGAGGACTCTGAGACCCTGGGAAATGGCAGAACAGTGAGAATGAAGGATCCTGGGTCCCTGAATGACCCCGTGGAGCACAGCCCCAAGTGGCTTGCAGTACACTGGGATGGGAATAAGAAGTTAACCTTGGTTAAGCCACTGAGGTTTGGCGACTGTAAGAAACAGAAGTTAACCCTCCCTGAATCATATAGAGTTGATCAGGGTGAAGCTCTATGCTGGTCACAAGGTTGAGATGAATCCATTTTTGAGTAAAACCCCTTCCCCTTTGTCAATCTGGCCAGTCAGGGTGTTTTCATAAAGAACCAGTCTTATGAGTACCCATTCCCTTTAACAACAAGTCCTTCCAGTCTGGAGGACTCCCTGAAACACAAGATCTTGGAAACCGTTCTAACTGAATGCAGACACCGGGCTGAGAAGGGGTCTGCCCTGAGGGCCTGCCTCCTGGCAGACACACTCCTACTGCCACACACAGCCTGGGGACTTTTTGTGTGGTGAACTGTTGGCATTCAAGGGAGGAAGCAGGAAAGAGATTTGGGGGGATATGTGTAAATGGATTCCTGGGTTAAAATAGACAAATCTAGAAATAAAGTCACTCTGAATGTGTTTCCCACACAGCGGAGAGTTCACACTGGGTCTGCCATTGTCTCTGGGAGTTCATTGTCTGAAAGGCTCCACCAGGAATGGCCCATGGACAGTCTTGTTACCTCAGCGCAGTTGAATAGAAATGGCCTAATGCCAGTGTCACTTGAAGGATGGGAAACTGAAACATCCATTCATTCCTACCTAGTTCTCCAAACCTGAGTGATACTAAGAATCATCTGGGGAGCACTTAAAAATCTAGAATTTAGGGCTCTACTTTCAAAGATTCTGACTCACAAGGTCTGGAGTAGGGCCTGGGAATCTACGCTTTAAAAACACTACAGGAGGTCACGATCAGCCAAGTTTGAAAATCCCTGATCACAACCGTTTTCAGTCATCATCTACACTAATTTATTTTGCTGCATCAATCGCTTAAAATCAGCATGTGTACACACACACACACACACACACACACACACACACACAAGCGTGCACACGCCATCAAACCATGCAAAGCAAAAAGCCTCCATTCACGCCACTATCAATTAATCAGTCTTCTTTCTGAGACAAGAGGCTCTTATTTGAGTTCCAGCTCTAATTCATTGTCCGTCTTTTCACTCCTGACTCCTTCAATGACCACCAGACTGCTGGGGAGAAAAAGTCTTCTCAGTGTTAGGGATCCACATCAATATCTCCTGCCTGTAACTGTATCTCTCCTTTAATTAAGAAGTTCTGCTTGCAGTAATACTTGTCCTTTTGTTTAAAAAGAAATTCACAATTCTGGGAATTCCCTGGCAGTCCAGTTGTTAGGACTCCGCACTTCCACTGCTGGGGGCCCGGGTTCGAACCCTGGTTGGGGAACTAAGATCCTGCAAGCTGTGCGGCACGGCCAATAATTAAAAAAAAAATTTTTTTTAATTAAAAAAACCCCACAATTCTCAGGTATGTTATTGGGAAATGAATAGATTTCCAGTATATGCCATACGTGGGCTGATCTATGCTCTACATTTTTATTTGGTCATTCCCAGTTTCTCCAACCTGCTTCTCTGGGTGCTGTGAGTGCTGTGTCAGATCCCTAAGGTATTATGTCTGCCATCTTCCTTCACCTACCAGTAAAAGAAATCTAATGATAAAAACAGAAAGGGAATTCAGAAAGCTGAGTAAAAGTTTTCTTAGGGATCCTGTGTGGCCGTGCAACTCCCCCTAGTTTCATTTTCCGTTGTTTAAAAAAACATCTCTTTAGTCATCAGTTCAAACTGATTCCTGGGATTAACGTCAAGTTTGGTAGCTTTTCCCTTCAGGGATTATCACTTCCAGCCTGGCAGTCACACCCCCAAGTCCTCTCAGTAGCCTGGAAGAAACTGGAACCCACCAGGAGAGGCTGGGATTCTTTTACCGTTTTCAGATCCCTTTTATCGATACTTATCATGGTTTTCCAGTATGAAAATGCTACACATTGAGGTGCAAGTAAAATGCCCCTTCTCACTTCTTAAATCTGATGTGAGACTGATGGGGCAGCCGTGAATTAATTAATAAAAATATCTAAATTTGATGTTTCTTTTTTAAACAGTAGCTAATATATGTAATGATCAAACTTTTATTAAAGAGTCACCAGACGTCCCACCAGAATGTTGGCCATTGCAACTCAATCCATTCACCACATCATCCACCCCAACACACACACACACACACACACAGACACACGTTCTCATATACAGCCACTTATAATTTTTTTGGAAACAATGAGATTCACGTGCAGTTGCAAAACTTCACAGAGAGATCCCGTGTACCCTTCATCCAGTTTGCCCCAATGTTTTCGTTTTATGTAACCACAGTTCAGTATTAAAACCAGGAAACTGGCATGGGTACAATGTTGTCACACTTTAAAATATATATATTATTATCTGCTTCTCCAGGCAAAGGCTCCTTCTCAGAAGCCGCTGACTTTCGCCAAATCAGCATCAAATCACAACTGCCCTCCCGTGTGGACCCAGGTTGGTGGATTCAGTCACATGTTTTGGTTTGTCTTGGAATTAGATTACGGTTCCCCCAATTTAAAAAAATTCCCCAAAGGGAAAAAAAAATCATCAAGCTAATTTCACATGGTGTGTACTCCAGTTATCCGTTGTTGTGTAAGAAACCACCCCCAAATGGAGTAACTTAACCACATTTATTTTGCTCATAAATCTGCGATTGGGACAGGATTTGGTGGGGACAGTTGATCTCCGCCCATCTGGATGAGTCTGTCTCGACTGGAAGGCTGGCTGCACCTGACATGGGCGAGGGCAGCGTGAGGGTAGGGCGCGGGGTCGTCTGAAAGCTCCCTCAGCCCCGTGCAAGTTTACTGCCTCAGCTGAGAAAAGTCAGAGAGCTGGGAGCTGGACCCCTGCGCTTCTCGGGCACGGCTCCCTCTGCAGTGTGGTCTCTCCTCAGGTTGCCTCCAGCACGGCAGCTTCAGGGAGAGTGTACTTTTTTTTTTTTTAATTTTTATTGGAGTACAGGTGTTTTACAATGTTGTGTTAGTTTCTGCTGTACAGCAAAGTGAATCAGCTATGCATATACATATATCCCCTCTTTTTTAGATCTACTTCCCATTTAGGTCACCACAGAGCATTGAGTAGAGTTCCCTGTGCCATAGAGTAGGGTCTCATTAGTTATCTCTTTTATACATAGTAGTGTGTATAATATAGGTCAATCCCCATCTCCCAGTCCATCCCACCCCGCCATTGTCGCTTGGTATCCATAAGTTTGTTCTCTACATCTGTGTCTCTGCCTCTGCTTTGCAAATAAGTTCATCTGTACCACTTTTCTAGATTCCACATATAAGTGATATTATGCGATATTTGTTTTTCTCTGACTTACTTCACTCTGTATGACAGTCTGTAGGGCTGTCCACGTCTCTGCAAATGGCACTATTTCATTCCTTCCTATGGCTGAGTAATATTCCATTGTATGTATGTACCACATCTTCTTTACCCATTCCTCTGTCGATGGGCATTTAGGTTGCTTCCATGACCTGACTATTGTAAATAGTGCTGCAGTGAACATTGGGGTGCATGTCTCTTTTTGAATTATGGTTTTCTCTGGGTATATGCCCAGGAGTGGCATTTCTGAGTCATCTGGCAACTCTATTTTTAGTTTTTTGAGGAACCTCCATACTGTTCTCCATATCGGCTGTACCAATTTACATTCCCACTCACAGTGTAGGAGGGTTCCCTTTTTCAGGGAGGGTGTACTCCTTACATATCAGCTCAGGGTTCCCAAGACATGTGGGAGAGAGGCTGAAAGAGAGAGAGAGAGAGAGAGACAGAGCGAGCAGCTGTAAGCTCTTAATGGTGCAGCCTCAGAAGTCATGTAGCCTCACATCCATGATATTTTATTCATTGGGGTAGTCACAAAAAGGCACACTTTCAAAGACAGGGGATTTAGGCCTCACCTTTTGTTGAAGCGTTGCAAAGTTTTGGAAGAGCGTGTGAGACCAGAAATGTTGTTGTGAGAGATCAGGAGGATAAACAAACCAGTGGAAAAAAAATCTAAAGAGATGCTTCTCTTTTTTTTCAAAGCAAATAACCTATGTCGTGATCAAAATTTTATTAGGTAGCCCCTTGAAATTCTTTCAGAATATTTGCCTTCCTCCATTAGCTCATAACTACAGCCACAAACACGCACACGCACACACACGTGTACACACATGTACAGACAGAGCTTGATGATTTCAGAGCAGACAGAGACCAAGAAACCATGGCATTGAGTGTGCTGAGTCCAGACAAATGATATTTACACACACATCCAAATTGGAAGAGAAAATGTATTTCTTTAGGTTTCAGACACTGTAATAGATATAAAGCAAAAATGAAAACCCGTTGCAAAGTTCTAAAAAACAAAAATACATGCATATGTATACCTATGCACACATGCACACACAGACATCACTTTTTTTCTATTACTGTACTTTTAGCTCTGTCCTCAGCCAAAGCTTCCTTCTCAGAAGTCAGAACTGACTCACTGGCTGTCCATGAATCCAACATCAAGACACTACTGTCGGGACTTCCCTGGTGGTCCAGTGGTTAAGAATCCACCTTCCAATGCAGGGAACGCAGGTTGGATCCCTGGTCAGAGAGCTAAGATCCTACATGCCATGGGGCAACTAAGCCCATGCACTCTAAGGCCGGCGCGCCACAACTGGAGAGCCTGTGCTCTGCGACAGTGACCTGACGCAGCCAAACAAGTGAATAAATATTTTTTAATGTACACTTAAAAAATAAAAAGACACTCTTGTCCCCTGATGTGGGATCAGGCTGGTGGGTTCAGCCAGATTGTTTTTGGTTTGTCTGTGAACTGGGCTGTGGCTCCCAGGAGAAGGAACTAAAATCATCCAACTAATTTCACGTGATGTACTAAGAACGCAGCACTCCATGAAGGAGGTGAGTGATTAGTTTACCAAGCCATCCAGCCCTATGTAAATGACCTGTGATAAATGACTGGTCAGCCGAAAGAGCAGAAATCATGTCGTATTTCCAAGTTTGTAGTGAAGTGCCATGTGTGTTTATCATTGTTATGAAACAGCACAGTCGACTGCATGGGACAAAACTTTCTGCAATCACAGAAGTGACTTTTTAGTTAAAAAAACAAAATCACAGTATGAGATTTTATCAGACATTCTTTACTTGGATTATCAATGGTGGCTGGCAGATGGCCTTAGTGTGCTGACAGCCGTGTAATCCGCTTATACAGATATTGACAAGAGTTCTGAATGTGGAAATACTTAAACAAGGTCGAGCTCTTTTGCCTTTTATTTAGGATTTTCATCGTAGATCCTGAGAGTCAGAAAGTACACCCACAGCTTCATCATGGTACACCGCCTGACTCTGCATTCTTCTACTGGATTTTTCTTTCCGTTTCTCTGGATGTAAGAGTAGTGTAGTTGAATAGACAATCTTCTCACCTAAAACCTACATGAATCTTAGGGTAGCCCTGTCCAGAGAGAAGTGAAGTAATCACAGTGTAAATGAGGCATTTGGATAGACTAATGCTTCTTGTAAGTCAGGATTATCTAATTTACCATCAAAGGCCCCAGCTAGCCGTCACTTATCATTTTTTGAGCACTTGCCATGGGCAGGTGCCGTGCTGACAGCTTTAGGTAACATTGCCTCTTTGATAATGACGGATTTCTTTGCAGCTGGTATTATTATTACCATTCTACAGGTAAAGAATCTGCAGCTCCTAAAGACTGAGGAACTTGACCAGGGCCACAGACACCTGGAGCCAGGAGGAACTCAGATTCGTCAGACGTGAACTGCTGCCCTAAGTCAGGTTAGTGCCCTGCCCTTGACAGAGACTTAAAAACTACACAGAAAGGCAATAAGGAGCTTTTGAGATGATGGGAAGAGGCACAGTGGAGTGTGAGCTAACCGAGTGTGGACCCTCCTGAGGAGTATAAGAAAATACTTACGAGTGATGGAAAGCTCACTGGAACTAATGTGGGAGGGTCCCTAGGCCCTGGAAAGAGGTTGGTTCTGAGAGATTTCCACACTTGAGAAGCTGGGGAATCATTATTTTTCCAGCTGAACGGCAAATAACTGTGGTTCTAACTGTCTTGATTTGGCTTTGCCAGTTATTGGTTGACCTGGGGCTGCACTCAAGAAAGATTCAAGAGTGGAGTAAGAAGTAAAACAGGGAAAGAACATAAAACATAATTGATGAAAGGAACTGGGTGTAATTCAGGGAAAAGACAGTAGCTCTGAAGTCATACTGTAAAGAAAACAAGCTGATCTGAGGTTGGACACAGCAGAAATTCTCCCACCGATGCATTCCCAGGGACTTCTATCTGTGTGCACAAGTGTACATCTGTGAGTCTGAGTCTCCATGGTTGGATAGAAGTGGGTGGGTCTGCAGTAATTCTTGTAAACTGTCCAAGTTCCATTGGCAGGGGGGTGGGACTACTTACGCTGCTTCCTGTCCCAGGGGATTACAGTCATTCTCTCACCTCTAATTTTCTCACCTCTAATTTTATCTTATCTACTTTGCTCCAAGTCTTCTGACACAGCGCTTCTCAAACTTTAACATGCTTATGAATCATTTGGGAAAGATTGTGAAAGTGCAGCGTGTTCCTTATAAGTCTAGGGTGAGGTCAGAGTCGCTGTATTTCTCAGAAGCCCCTGGGGGTTATGGATGCCCCTGTTGGGGAACCACACTTTGAGTCATGGGGTTCTAAACAGTGAAATCGTCCTAGCACAGGAGGATGAGGACGGTGACTGTCTCAAGAAAACAGCATTTTTCTCTGTCTTCCCACTCTTGTTGGGCCACTACACACCATTTTATAGGTTCTAATTTGTGGCGAGGGCTGAGGAAAGGATGGGCAGTAGGTGCCACAGTCCTAGGCTTGCTCTCTTGCTTTCTCTCCCATCCTCTCTTTGTCTGATCCCATCTGGATGGCTGGCCTTCCTTCCCCTCCAGAGGGAATTCCACTCAAACAGCTGCTTCCTCCTGTGTCTCAAGCAGTGTTCTTACAGAAGAGTTAGACTCTAGAGCTTGGACTCGAGCATGCAAAATCAGCTGGCCTAGCCTTCCACCCTCATTAGCGGGATGTCTAAACCATTCAAAGGGAGAGAGATGCCTATTTTCCTCACCCAAACCACCATCTTTTTTTTTTTTTTTTCTTCTTAGCTGTTCATATTTTCAAACATTGGCATGGGCCTTTGTTCAGCTGGAGACTCGGTCATCAAGACCACATTTGGATTAATTTGGTTCCAGGTCAAACAGTCCAACTTCACACATTTATCCCATGATTTCCTAATGCTATTGAATGACACATCATTTTATTTTTCCCTTTGTTTTTCTCTTTCAACTAATTTATTTAATGGGTCCAAAATGGGGGACTGGACCATAAAAACATGTGGTATTCTAATTGGATTTTGAAAATGTGTAAACATGGCCCTTCAGTGGCTTCGTGTTACCATCTGGACCAAATAGAAACTTCTGACCCTTGATTCCAACTTGCCTCCACTTGCTCCACCTCGGTGTCCCATCTCATGTGTTCCTTCTCTCCAGGGTCTCTCTGCTCCAGCAAAGCTGGGCTTCTGATTTTTCAAAACCCATTTCTCAAATTTCTGCCTCAAGGCCTCTGCCTGAATTAGTCTACAGAGGAGCAGCAAGTTTCTACTTTCCATTCTCTACACCTTTCAGAAAGGTTTTCAGATTTCAGCTCAAGATTGATGCCTCTAGGAATATTTCCAAAATCCACCCCAACCACTCTTCAACCTTCTGTGATCCCTAGTCCATTTCAGTGCCTTCTGATTATTTTGGCAAAATTTGTGTTCTACTCATATATATTTATGTGTGGGCTTCCCTGGTGGCGCAGTGGTTGAAAGTCCGCCTGCCGATGCAGGGGGCATGGGTTCGTGCCCCGGTCTGGGAAGATCCCACATGCCGCGGAGCGGCTGGGCCCGTGAGCCATGGCCGCTGAGCCTGTGCGTGCAGAGCCTGCGTGTGCAGAGCCTGTGCTCCGCGACGGGAGAGGCCACAACAGTGAGAGGCCCGCGTACCGAAAAACAAACAAACAAAAACAAAAACATATATTTATGTGGCTCACTGAGTTCTTTTTTTTTTTTTTTTGTGGTACACGGGCCTCTCACTGTTGTGGCCTCTCCCGTCGCAGAGCACAGGCTCCGGATGCGCAGGCCCAGCAGCCATGGCTCACGGGCCCAGCCGCTCCACGGCATGTGGGATCCCCCTGGACCGGGACACGAACCCGTGTCGCCTGTATCGGCAGGCGGACTCTCAACCACTGTGCCACCAGGGAAGCCCTCACTGAGTTCTTAACAGAAGCTAACTGCATGCTTCTTACGTGCTGGGTACTAATCCAGGTGCTGGGATCACAGTGAACAAGCAGGCAACGTTCTTAATATCAAAGAGTTTACATTCAGATTTGTAAAGGTGGAGAATGAGCCAAAAACAAATAAACAATAATTTCAGATGGTGAAGAGTTCTTGCTATTGGGTGGTGTAAGTCTATCAGGCAGGGTTAGGGTTAGTAAGTCAGTTTACTTTTGATCTGAACTCTCTGAATGCACTTTACAGAAACCTTTCACATACTGAGCAAACACTTGTAGACTCACTTTATTCAGATGTGCACATTCCAGTTTGCATGTGAATAAAACACGTTGGACCAGGTCTCAAGGGAAGGTTCTTCACGAGGCCATTCATTGCCTGGGAAAATGTCACTGATGAGACTGACCACTGATTTCACTAGTGAGAAAGGGCCATACTGTAGTTTGCAGTGTAGCGCCAGAGTTTCACAAACTTTAATTTCTCATTAGTTTTCCAAACTTTAATCAGATTTATCTGGGGTACTTGTTAATACTCCAGATGACTCTAGTGCAATTGACCTGTGGACCACATAATTAAACACTGTGTTATAACAATTTACTTGATAGCAATCAGGACACGGAGATGGATGAATGGATGGTGTAAGGACGGAAGGAAAGATGGATGCGTGGGTGACCCAAAGATCTTTAAGCTGGAAGCTGGAAGCTGAATTCAGGGGGCATGTGATACAACATACGCTCATGACTCTACCTTTATCCGTCCTGTGGCTCTATGCCTGCGATTTGGGAAGGTGAGCTCAATTCAGCCTCTTTTCTCTAATTTTCGTGAAGAAAAAGCTTATTCTTTGAGCCCCAAATATAAAAAAAAAAAAACTGGTTTAAACAGGGTATGTGAGATGTAATCTTTCATTCAATTGCCCGTCACTTACCATAGAACTTGCATTTTTTGGAACCACATTTCCCCCCCCAAACAAGTCACTTTTAAGTCATGTCCAATTTTGCTAGTATAACAAGATATTTAATACCATTGGAATCAGAGGTACCTTCATATTCTAACAAGACCCGTAAAGAAACCATCGTGCATTAGGACCGGAAACTACACTTTAGGGTGTCTGAGAGGCAGCAGGATGGTCCCACTGCCACCAAGCACCATCCTGCCAGGCCCTCTCCAGTCTAGAGAAGATGGCTTAGTAAGGGCGATGTGGGAATTACAGCGCACTGGTACCAGTCTGTTCTCACCCTAAGCCAGGGGCTGGGAAGAGTATGTTTCCACTTCTGAAACAAAGTGAGGGGGGGCTCCAGAAGAGTCATTTATAACCACTGGGGTACTTGCAGTAAAGGGGAATTGACATTTCATTCTTTAATTGGAGGCCTTCCGAACCTCCAAAGGCGTCAGACCTTCCCTTAGGATGTTTCCATTGAAGAGTGGCCGCTAGAGCTCTTGGGGGAGCTTGGTGTGCAGCCCTGAGGGGCGGCAAAGCATGTAGGAATATGCAATCTGTGACCCTCTTCTTAAAATAGTTTTAAAGATTTTTTTGATGTGGACCATTTTTTTTTAAGTGTTTATTGAATTTGTTACAGTATTGTTTCTGCTTTATGTTCTGGCTTCTTGGCTGCCAGTCATGTGGGATCCCAGTTCCCTGACCAAGGGTTCAACCAGCAACGCCCCACAACATTGGAAGGTGAAGTCCTAACCACTGGACCACCAGGCAAGTCCCTGACCTTCTTTCAAACTAGAAATTTCTGAAGGCATGAGTATCAGAGCTTGGAGGAACTGTGGTGGAAATGCCTAGGAAGGGCAGGATGGTCCCCAGCCCACCTAGTTTCCTTCCATTCTTGGATGATGTGAAAGAGGCCCCCTGCCTTTCACTGGCTCCACCTGAGGGAGCCCAGATATTAGTGGAGGTGCTGGGTGCAGGAGCCATGGGATTCCTTCAATAGTCACCAAGTCAAGACCTGGGATGGAGAGCTAATGGCAGACATGGCTGAATTGGGGAGGGTGGGGGGAAGCTTAAAAACCCACATACTCCACCTGTGGTGAAACCACTAGTAGTAGATGGAACCAGGAAGAATCAGAACAATGTCCAGAGGTACCTCTCTCCCAAGAGTGAGTGGACATTTAAGGAAGGATTCTTGAGTCCCCTAGCCCTGCTTCAGGCTCCCAAGTATCTAGGTCTAGAGGAAGAAGAGGACAGCATTGATCCAGAGCCAGATCTTGCCCCCATCCTCTTTCTAAACAGTCAGAGTCGCAGCGCTAGCTGTAAATTGGATATGCAATTAAGGGTTTAAATTAAGCCACACTAAGTTTTAATTACCAAATGTGACCAGGAAGTTATGGAATACACCCAAGATTTTGTTAAGGGAGGAGAAAATAGTGGCTTCTACATAGCACAATTGAACACAGAGATTTAAAAAAAAAATACATACGGCTATCTCATTTTTTCTTTGGATCTCAGTTGCAATTCCTTCAAGACCCCATTGTCATAGAAGGCTTTACTGAAAGCAATTTTCATGCTCTCATGGTCAAATAATCCAAGAATGTTTACTTCCCTTTTCTT